AGGGGTTACAATTACATGAGCAAGATAATGAGTACATTTCTTATTGTAGCCTCCTCCTTTGTTTCCCCTTCCCATCCCATCCTCCCCCCCCCCCACCTCCCTGCCTATATCATTTCTTGTGGTTTTTATTTGTTACTCAATACTAGCATTTAATGGTCTTGCACTTGCTGCATAAGTCTCCTCTGATTTGCCACTTGGGCCACAACAGTCATTTTGCTTTTAGTTATTATTCTTGAAGAGGGTCTTGAGTTTTTGCCTAGATTTGGACCAGGACCCTCTTTCTTGTTTTTCTTTTTTGTTGGTCAAGGGGCTTGAACTCAGGGCCTGGGCTCTTTCCCTAATCTTTTTCACTCAAGGCTAGCATTCTACCACTTTTGAACCAAAGTGGTTAATTGGAGACGGGGCTGGGAAGGTGGCTCAGTGGTAGAGTGCTTGCCTCACATACATGAGGCCCTAGGTTCGATTTCTCAGCACCACATAAGCAGAAAAAGCCGGAAGTGGCACTGTGGCTCAAGTGGTAGAGGGCTAGCCTTGAGCTGAAGAGCTGAGGGACAGTGCCCAGGCCCAAAGTTCAAGCCCCATGACCAGCAACAACAACAAAAAAGAGGAATAAGCTATAAAGAATACTACTGTTAAGCCAGGCACCGGTGGCTCATGCGTATAATCCTAACTACTCAGGAGATCTGAGGATCGTGGTTCAAAGCCAGCCCAGGAAGGAAAGTCTGTGAGACTCTTAATCTCCAAATAACCACCGGAAAACCAGAAGTGGCACTGTGGCTCAAGTGGTAGAGCGCTGGCCTTGAGCTGAAGAGCGCAGAGACAACACCCAAGCCCCCCAAAAGAACACTATTGTTAGGGGCCATCGCTCAATGGTAGAACACTTGCCAAGGCCCTAGGTTTGGTCCTTAGCACCACAAAAAATTAGCTAGGGCTTTACCTTATGCCATAGAATGGCAAAAACACTAATTAATGAAAATGACATTATGGTATCACTGATGTGTAATTATTTTACCTTATTTTATTTACATTCTTCTTTTTGTTTTGAGACAAAACAGCCCAGGCTGGCTTGAAACTTATAATGTTCCTGTCTCAACTTCCAGACTGCTGGGATTATAGACATACACCATTATACCTGGCTACTTTGTTTTTATTTTTCTTTATTTTATATTTTTACCCTAGACATGCTAGGTAAGTATTTTACCACTGAGCTCAACCTCAGCCAATATGGAATTTTAAAATGCAAAACTATATACTGTGTATGCTATTTGTGTCAATAATAGCATAAAACAAGCATGGTGTTGGTGGTGGTTGTTTCTAAAGTGGGGAAGGGAGAAATGAGTGGGTGGGCCTTAACTATTATTAGCATTGTACTCCTTTTAAAAATAAAACAGAGGTCTGATGCAAGTATGGCAAAACACTGATACTTGTTTAAGGTGGCAGTGTATTTATCAGTTTCTATGATATTACTTTGTGTTTGAAACATGTCATGATTCAGAAGAAAAGAATCTGTGATATTGGAAGAATTTTAAAAGAACTGAGCAAGAGGGCTGGGGTGTGTGTGGCTCAAGTTATATAGTACTTGCCTAGCCAGTATAAGGCCCTGAGCTCAAACACAGACTTGCCAAAATAACAGTAACAATAATCTTAAAAAATTTGAGGTAGGGATCCAAACATATTTAATTTTAGATTTTATCATGTGTTTTTCTTTCTTTTTTTTAGGACCGAGACTAGGACTTGAACTTGGTACTTTTTGCTCTTTGCTCTACCAACTCAAACCTAAACATACCCCTGTCCTTTACCAAGCTTCCTCCTTTCTCCACAGTACCTAGGCTCAGCAAAAATCACCACTTATGGGCTAGGAAGGTGGCTCAGTGGTAGAGCGCTTGCCTTGCATGCATGAGGCCCTGGGTTCAATTCCTCAGCACCACATAAGCAGAAAAAAACCAGATGTGGCACTGTAGCTCAAGTGGTAGGGCACTAGCCTTGAGCTGAAGAGCTGAGGGACAGCGCCCAGGCCCAGAGTTCAGGTCCCATGACCAACAAATCACCGCTTATGCAGGAATCCTTCTTGTTTTTGCCTTCTGAATCTCTCTCCAGAAATTCCCACTTCTTCACCTCATGTCAGCTTTCTCATCTGGATTACTGTAATACCTAACTGATCTCCCACTCATTTGCTATTCTCCAGCATTTTGGAGCATGCCTCCAAAATCAGAACTAAATGATGTCACCATTCTTACAACATTCGTTGGCTCTCCTAGATGTTCAAACTTCTCAACACAGGTACAGAACCTTTCATGACCTGTGGCTTGGGCAGGTTCCAGCTTTATTTCCCACACCCCCTGCCCACAATTATCCTCTCTAGCTCCCTGAATATCTATCAGTTCCCAGAACAGTTCATTGCCTCTTGCCTCAGGGGCTTAACTTTTGTCCTCACTTTTCTGGCCTATTCTCTTCTTGTCCTCCCTCTCCTCCACATCTGCTGGGCTAATTTCTCATCTAATTATCAGTTCAGAGGCCACTTCCTCCACATTTGCTGAGTTAACTTCTCATACTCCAGTTATCAGTTGAAAGGTTACTTCCTACCAAGCCTTCCTTCCTCCACCTCCCTGAACCCAACTCAGTTCTTTCTTGCATGCTCCTGTAATAGGTACTTCAATCTGTCCCAGTGTTTATCCTGCTTATTGTGTTTACGTAACATGTCTCTTGAGTTGAACTAAGACTCTCAATTTCCCTTTCATTCCCAGTGCATAAGGCATGTATTTAACAGATATGAGGAAGATATGGTCTTTGCCCTCAGTTCTTGGCCTGCTGAAGATACTATCTCCCAAAGAAAATATAAAAATTAAGTAAGCACTGCAACAGATTATTTAGATATGTGGACACATAGCTGACTACATAACCTTGTCTGAAGTTGGTTAGGAAATGTGACAGGTGACCTTGTTTTTCGTTCATTCCATTCCATTCATTCCACTTACTTGGTGCTAGGCACCATTCCAGGCACTGAGGAAACAGCAAGAAACAAGACAGACACTGTCCCTGCCTTCCTGGAACTTAGTTCAATGAAATTAGAGGGAGAGATTAACAAATGAGATAATTTCAGATAATGATATGAGCTTTGAAGAATATAAAACACTTAGGGCTGGGAAGGTGGCTCAGTGGTAGAGTGCTTGCCTTGCATGCATGAGGCCCTGGGTTCGATTCCTCAGCACCACATAAGCAAACAGAAAAAAGCCAGAAGTGGCACTGTGGCTCAAGTGGTAGAGCGCTAGCCTTGAGCTGAAGAGCTGAGGGACAGCGCCCAGGCCCAGAGTTCAGGCCCCATGACCAGACAAAAAAATTAAAAAAAAAAAAAGAATATAAAACACTGGAAGGGGAAGAGACTAGATTACTTTCTCTGCAGAGGTGTCATTTGAATATAACCTGAATGAAGGGATGAAGCCAGCCATTCAGAGATCTGTGGAAGACTGTTCTAGGCAGAGGGCACAATGAGTCCCACTGGTTTAAAGGACAGAAAGAAGGCCAGTGTGACAGAAACACAATGAGTATTTTTATCTCCAGTCTAGATCTTTTCCCTGAATTCCATAATCACAGGGCTGACTGCCAAATGAAAACTACCACTGGGATTTCAAGTAAGCATTTTGACCTCCTAAAATTCAAAAACAACCTAATTTTCTCCTACAAACTCGTTCCTTCACACTTTAGTAAATGAAATCTATCATTAGAATTGCTCAAGCTAGCTGGCTACTTGTGGCTCACACCTGTAATCCTAGATACTCAGGAGGCTGAGATTTGAAGATCATGGTTTGAAGCCAGTCTAGGTGTCTATGGGACTCTTATCTTCAATTAACCAGCAAAAAGCTAGAAATAGAGCTGTGGTTCAAGTGACAGAGCACTAGCTTTGAGTGAAAAAGTAAGGACAGTACCCAGGCCTTACATTCAAGCTGCAGCACACATACAAAAACAAGCTAAAAATTTGCATGGTCCTTAACTTTGTGTTGAACACTTGGTAGCAGCACACAGTTGCCTGTGGAAATCTATCAAATTTAAAGAAAGATTTGATAGGTATCATGTGGTTCTCTCTCCAGGTACCTGGGATTTTTTGTGTCAACACTCAGGCTTGAATTCATAAAGGTGAGAGCTTCTTTAAGAGACAACTAGAAGAATACATAGGAAGCTTTGTTGTTTTATTGCCAGTCCTGAGGTTTGAACTCAGGACCTGGCCACTGTCCCGGAGCTTCTTTTGCTCAGGGCTAGCACTGTACCACTTGAATCACAGCACCACTTCTGGCTTTTTCTGTTTATGTGGTACTGAGGAATCAAACCCAGGGCTTCATGCATGCTAGGCAAGCACTCTACCAGTAAGCCACATTCCCAGCCCCGACTGTTATTTTCTGAGAGAACTAGATTCTTTTCTTTCACACTCATTTCTTAGCTGGTAAACAGACTTATTTCTGTGATTCTTTTTAGCACTGTCATCCCTTCTAGACTGTACATTGCACAAGGGCAGGTGCTCACACTGTATACTCAGAGCTGAGTCCAATGCTTATGTGTAAAACAAGATCTTAATGAAGAGTTGTTAAGTGAAGCTGAGCATGGTGGTACACACCTGTAATCTCAGCACTCAGGAAGCTGAAGCAGGAGGACTATGAGTTCAAGACTAACCTAGACTATACAGCAAGACCCTATCTGAAGTTGTTAAATGAACAATGTGAAAAAGAAAGAGCCAAGGATGGACATGCAGTTTACAGTAGAGGTGACTGAAGGAAAAATGTAGTAAACATTAAGTGTGACTAGGGACACAGAAGGTAGCAACATAAATGCTGACTTGAAGTAGCTCTGATTATGCAGGCAATGACATCTATCTGGAATTTAGAAAGAAGTCTTAAGTTTTAGGTGCTAGGCCTGGGAAACTGTCTTGACTATAAGATGGAACCATGCTCTCCTCCTTTAGAATATGGATGTCATGCAAGGATTATCAATTTCCCTGTTTAAAGACTTACCCGAACCTCAGCCTCGCGGGGCCTCCCATTGAGGTCACACTTGGACCCATTACCATAGGTCTGGCTGTGGTAGCGTTTCAGGCGATGCTGCTTGGAGGCCTGGAGGAGACAGCAGGTAAGAGGAAGAGGGCATGAGAAAGAAAGTAAGAGCACGGGAATCTAGGCCCCTGGGATTCTGTCCCCGTCACCAAGCCCCAAGAAACGCATCAGCTAATCCTGACCCTCCCCTCTTTTCCAGGCTGTCAGTCTGCAGTGGACCCCTTTCTCTCCCAATTCCACACTCCTGCCACCTTAGCGGTTTCATCATCCCAGTCGAAGGCCGATTGGTAGTAGCCGAGATAGAGGACATCACCTTTGATCTCTGAATCTGCAAGAGAACCCACAGTGAAGCACATTATTTTCTTTTAAGAGGTCTGGGGAGAGGAAGGTCATTTTCCATGATAGGATGCTGAAGGCTTAGGGAAATGCAGGAATGAGTCACCTTCCATATGGTACTGCTGGATGTGGCGTCCATAACAGAATTCATACGTCCACCAGTCCTTGGTCTGAAAATTAAAAACAATCAGTGGGTAGAATGAAGATTCCTCTTTTTGGAGTCTCTAGGCTCCAAGATACATAAGCAATCATCTACTTCTCATTTCTCTCCTCCCACACTCATTCTCCAGTGCAGGTAGAGACAGTTGTTTTTCTTCTGCGGTTAGGGATACATCTTATGTCTGTTTTACACCTGTAGCTGGCTACCTTTCCTCCCTCCCTCCCTCTCTCCCTCTTTTCCTCTCTTCCTTTCTTCCTTCTCCCTTTTAAAAGTTTCAAGTCACCTGCTTCACTGTCCTGGGTGCTAGGATTATAGCCAATCACCAGCACACCCGAACATCTGTGGTCTTTCCATTTTCACCCCTCTTAATAGTTTTTTAATTCTTTTTTTCAGGATGCCAGTAATTCACACCTGTAATTCTAGATATTCAGGAGGTTGAGATATGAGAACCACAGTTTGAAGCCAGCCTGGGCAGGAAAATGTGTGAGATCCTTATCTCCAAAAAGCCAGAAATGGAGCTGTGGTTCAAGAGGTAGAATGCTAGCTTGGAGCAAAAGCAGCTTAGGAATGGTACCCAGGCCCTTAGTTCAAGGACAAGACAAACAAACAAAATTTTTTTTCCCACCATAAAGATACGCAATCATGGTATCTTCAAGGGACTTAGATTCTAAAAGTAGAGAAGACCCTGAAGTCAAATATAAATTCAACTTCTACAACATTCCTTGTGCTGCTCTAGTCACTGGAAAGATAAACTGACCTTGTAGACAGTACTAAACCTAAAGTAAACCAACTTTTTAGCTAATAAGATGATTCCATATCATTAAAACTGCCAGGATGAAAAAAAGACAAAGTAGGTATGGGGCACAGTGAGGGGGCATATGGAGACTTTACCAGGTATGTTTCTCTAAGGAAAGGCTTGCCCATGCCATCCCACCCAACCCTCTTTAGGCATTTCAATCTTGGTTTCTTCCATCCTACCCCAGCCCACCTCAAGTCAGCAAAATATTAGCGATTGCAGGAGTTTTCTTTTTTCTTTATTTCTTGACTGTATACTATGTGGCCTTTTGACTCCTACAGGTTCCCTACATCCCGCGCCACTCCAGTTGGGGCCTGATAGCTCGCAAGATGTCATTCCTTCTGCCCCAATCCCTTTCACCTTCAGCAGGCAGGGCGCATCTCTCATGGGGCTCAACAACTCGGGGATTCCAGGCCCTTGGTAAGCAGGTGTCTCCTCCTCCCTTTCACGCTGGAAGTGAATCGCTCCAGCAGGCAGGCGGCACTCATAGCGCTGTTTGTACTTGGAGGAGACAATCACTACGTCCGAAGCTTGGCTCTGGGAAAGAAGGGAGGAGCCGGGGCCAGGGGAGGCAGAGAGAGAGAAAGAGAGAGAGGGAGGCTGGGCGCAGGGACAGACACGAGATCGCTCGCTCTTTCTGACCCTGGGGACGGGCGCAGGCGAAGGTCCCTGGAGCCCCAAGTCCTCCCGGCTGTCTCTAGTGGGCGGGGCTAGGGCACCCCCACTTCTCCACGGGGCGGAGTCTGGGCCCGGAGGCCGACAGCGGGAAGCCCCCGAGAGATCGGTCTGTCTGCGATCGCCACGAGTCAAGGTAAGAGCCTTGTCCCTCTCGGTCCTCTGGGCTGGCCGCCCGGGCTCCTCAGCCGCTGCCCTGCCCCCGGCCTCCCCTCTTGCCGTTCGGCACTGGACCCTCGCTCGCCGCTTCGGCGCCTCCTCACCTGCCCTCCCATGACAGGCAATGGCAGGATCTCGATCCCATAACGCATCTCACTCAGTTCCTCCAAGTTCAAGCTCCCGACGCCACCCGTCAGACTTGCTGGTAATAGGAGCCCCAGAAACAGCAACTGCAACCAACTGGACAGCAGCTTTTCCGCCGCCATCTTTCGTTGCTCCGTCTCACAGGGAGACGCTCCTTCCGCCCTAAACCTGGCAGCGGCCTCGCCCGCCCAGTAGCGCAGCAAAATCTTATTGGTTGGGCCTTCCACCCCTCTGATGTATCCTATTCTTATTTGTAGACGTTGCTCCAAAACCTCCGGGGAGGAGGATCACGACGATTAGCACCACCAATCCCTGCACGTGATTGGTCAGAAGGATCGACCAATCATTAACGAGATTGTATTTCCCCACCCTCTCCCCGCCCCTGTCCAAAGCCAGAGAGGCGGGCTCGACACTGTGCTGTTCAAGCCTGTTGTCTCTGTTCTCGTCCAGCTGTCACGCTGTGAGTACGGGTGAGTGTTCGTGATACCTCTGGGAGTCACTTAATACTTTTTGCTAAACAGTTACTCCTACCTTGGTGCCGGCGGCTCACGCCTGTAATTATAGCTACTTAGGAGGCTGAGATCTGAGGATCATGGTTCAAAGCCAGCTCGGGCAAGAAAGTCCATGAGCCGCTTATCACCAATTAACCAGCAAAAAGCAAAGGTGGAGCTGTGGCTCAAGTGGTAGAGTGCTAGCATTAGATGATTAAAAGCTCGAGGACAGCGCCCAGACCCTGAGTTCAAATCCCAGGACTGGCACAAAAACAATACCCAGAATATACAAACGCATACCCCTTTCATCTGCATATATTACTTTAAGCCAAAAGACATTTCCTGACAGACAGTCTACACTGTTTTGCAGTTGTTCTCCAACAAAATTATCCTAAAGAAATCAAGGACACACCTATGATTCCAGCAGTTAGGAGACTGAGGCAGGAGGATGCTGGTTTAAGGAGCTGCAAAGGAAGACTCTATTTTTTAAAAAAATTAATATTATTTAAATTATGTAATAATAATTATATAAAGAGGTTTCAATACCACAAGTCAGTACAATACATCTTGTCACCCTTTCCATCCTTTCTCCGATCTTTCCATCCAGACTTTTATGTGGTTCGATTTTTACAGAGTGTACATTGAATATAATTGTATTTCTCCTCCCTCCACTCACGTATCTCCCTCTTCTTAACCTCCTCCCCAAATAAAACCTGTTTCGGCTTCCTGGTATTCATATTTTATAATTTTTTTATTGAGATTAAGTGATTACATAAACTTCACAAACCACAGTATTGTAAGATAGTGATACTTAGTTAAAGTCACAAACACATTTTAACTTCACAAGGCCAATTGTCATTATCGTGGTCTATAAAGTCTGTGAATTCTGTTAGCTTTGACAATGCAACTATTTCTTCCATATCGGTGATATGTCCATTTCTTTCCTTTTGTTTGGTGTTAGCTCTTCCCTCTTTCTCTCTCATTCCGTCCCTCCCATCACTACCCTTGAGTTGCTTAGTTCATTTTCATCAATGTCTAGTTCAGCCGATGGGCCCCTCTGTTGTATGTTGTCCTATGATCCTGGTATTCATTTTGTTAAACAGTTCATTAGTTGTTCAGAGGAATTATACCTTTGGATTGAGTATACCATCCTTAAATTAATTGGTTTAGGTAGATGCACAAAACCCTGTATATGCTTTCATATATTTGTATTTTAGATCTAATGTGCACATACGAGAGAAAACATGTACTGTTTGTCTCTCTGAGCCTGACTTACTTCACTTATATAAAGGGGTCCAAGCCAGGCGCCAGTGGCTCATGCCTGTAATCCTAGCTACTCAGGAGGCTGAGATCTGAGGATCACAGTTCAAAGCCAGCCAGGCAGGAAAAGTCCATGAGACTCTTATCTCCAATTAACCACCAGGAACCTGGAAGTGGTGCTGTAGCTCAAGTGGTAGAGTACTGGCTTTGAGCTGAAGAACTCAAGGACAGTGTCCGGACCCAGAGTTCAAGAGCCACCACTGATTTTAAAAAAAGTGGGGGGGGGGAGGTCCACAGGAGTCACCCTGGTAGGGAGCATGGGCAAATTCATCTATTATTGCCCAGACCAGAAGTTAGAAACTTGTGAGGAGAAAGAGAAAGGAGTTAACAGCAGTGACATTTTAGAAGCTGGAAAGCAAACCCTGAGAAAATTGGGCCCTAAACAGAGGTAAAGAGCATGAATATATTTTTGGAAACATTTTCTTTCTTTCTTTTTTTTTTTTTTTGGTCGGTCATGGGGCTTGAACTCTGGGCCTGGGCGCTGTCCCTCAGCTCTTCAGCTCAAGGCGAGCGCTCTATCACTTGAGCTACAGCGCCACTTCCGGTTTTCTGGTGGTTTATTGGAGCTAGGAGTCTCATGGTCTCTCCTGCCCGGGCTGGCTTTGAACTGCGATCCTCAGATCTCAGCCTCCTGAGTAGCTAGGATTACAGGCGTGAGCCACCAGCGCCCGGCTTGGAAACATTTTCTGTAAGGAAATCCCACTGGCTCAACAGAAAAATCCTGTAGATACTCTTTATCTTGAGGCCTGGGGTATGGCTCACTGGGAAGAGCACCTGCCTCACAAGTGAATCGGCCTTGACTTTTAAATTTCATTTCGGCCCTACCCACCAAGAATGAAGAGGGAGCTGCATGGCAGGTAGTTTGTGGCTTTTCTTAAGAAAACAGTGTTTGTAAAAAAAAAAAAAAAAGAAAAGAAAACAGTGTTTGTGTCCTGCTGCTAAAGTCCTTGTGATTAAGCCTGACAGTGTCGTGAGCTTTTCAGTCATCACAACAATAAGCTCTTTCAGGGAATATACCAGAATATATGTGTAATTAGCTGGTGTTTTTTTTAAATCTTTGTCATTGCAGAGTAAAAAGAGTGGCTGCAGTCTAGGCATGTGGTTAGCTGATATTTGCTATCATCTTTGTAACATTTGTAACTTGTTCTTCTTATCTGTGTTCTAAAAGATAATTATTTTCTGTACAATTCAAACCACTGGGTCTAATGAGCTTCTCATAGTCTAAACATCCCTTAGAAAATAATGTCTGGATGCAAGAAAAAAAGGAGGATGCCCTCAATTTTTTTTTTTTAATTTTGAGATAAAGTCATTCCAAATTGGCCTTGAGCTTAGTGATCCTCCTATCTTTGCTTCCTGAATACTGGGGTTACAAATGTACACCACCACAACCAGCTGCCCTCATTTTTTTTCTTTTTGGAGATTGTGGAGTTCAAATGCAAGACATTGGGCAACCACTCTACCATGGAGGGGGCATCCCCACTGCTTGGCTTTTTGAGACAGGCTTGTGTCCCATAGACTAGCTTTAAATTTAAGGCTCTCCTGCCTTCATCTCCCAAGCGCTGGGATTGAAGGTATGTGCCACTGTACCAATTGCCTTCAGATGTTTGGGGACATTATTTTTTAACTAAAATTTCACTCTGAGCCAAACCATGATTTAATTGTGAGTCTGGTGTAAAGACTATTTCAGATATGCATGGTCTCAAAATACTGATATTCCATACATTATTCTTCAGGAAATTAGGAGTGGATTTATTATACCAAGAAAAATCAGCAGGTCAAAAATGAGTGATGTGGAATCCTAGAATGAGTCCAGCATCAAAGAAAGGCAACTGGAGTCACTAAGGTAATGAGGTAGGGAGATAATAAATTGTACATCTGGGCTTCAGATCACCTCTTCAAAACTAAAGCTGTCCAGAAGGGTCTGAGGGTGATTTCTTTAAAAAAAACTTGATCAGATACCTAATATATTTGAGTTTATGGAGGAGAGATTTGTATAACCAGAAGAAGAAAGTTTGGGAATATATTAGTGACAAGTAGATAGAAAGTTCAGAGGAACAAAAGACAGTTATATAATAAAAGTTAAAAGTTGGAGGGAGGGAGAAAAATGGGGGAGGGAGTAACAAGTTAGACAAGAAAGGTAATCACTACCTTACTCATGTAACTGTAACCCCTTCTATACGTCATCTTGACAATAAAATTAAAATTTAAAAAAAACTTGGGCTGAGAAAACTCAACATCTGCTTTTTTTCAAGTCCAGTGAGCATTTCCAAGACAATTAATAAATGGTGGGTAGTCAGATGTGAGTTGGTACATACCAGTAAGTCCAGCACTCTGGAGGCAGAGGGGGTGGGCTCATGAGTAGAGGCCTGCTTGGATTACATTGTGACTGCCCCCCAAAAGTCAGGAAAATGGAAATGCCTTCATTAATTACAAGCATGCTAGAGCCATCAAAACAGTTAAGAATTGCCAGGCTCCAGTGATACAGAATTTTCTTCTGCTATTGCTTGAGTTGGTCAGAGCCCACACAGCTCTGCTGGCTTCATAGCCCTTCTGGCTGTGCAGCTGGCAGAGACCACTTAGGATCCTAGCCCTATAATAGACAAGGCCTGCTTAGTATTGCAGCTCAGTGGCAGGCAATGTCTGCCGGTGTTGCAGAAGCACTGTCATCTGCTATCAGGCTAGCCTCCTCTGGTTTTTGTCAGAATCTGACAAATGAAGTCTCAGACAATAGAAGGTCAGCACGAAAATCCTCATTCAAAAGAGAATATCTTGCTTGAAAGCTGCAGCTCTGTCTGTCCATCATGTGTTCTCCATCTGTCTCCATCCTTCCCTAGGTATCTGTGTATAGGTGATTCTGAGTTATGCCCTGCATGTTCTCTGATTGATCACTCTTATTATAATTAACTATCTGGTGTTTTTTTTCACTCAAAGTGAGAGCTCTACCATTTGAGCCACACCTCTACTTCTGGCTTTTTGCTGGTTAATTGGAGAAGAGTCTCTGAATTTATCTGCCCAATTGGCTTCAGTCCCCAATTCTTAGCTCTCCTGAGTAGCTAAGGCATGAGCCAGTATATGACTAAACTTTACTTGGTTAGTATGGCTATAAAGAACATATGACCATTTTTAATCTTCCACTGGTACCTGTGGCCAAAACAAAAAAAAAAAACACCTATGTATAGAGACATTATAATGGAACTTAATAAAAAGTATGAAAGGAGAACATCAGATCCTAAAAGTAGCCAGAGTGTGAATTATGTGGGTATACGCATTTGTCAAAGTTCATTAACACTTCTAATTTCAGATGTGCTTAAATATGAAAAAAATTGTATCTCAGGAAGTCAGCAA